TAGGCACCCCCTGCCTCCCCAACAGCCCTGTTCTGTCTTTGACATTGCATTTCCACCCTTCTGTACTCATTTTCAATTGGTATTCTTCAGGTCTTTAGACTGCAAAATACACCTGAATATTGTCTGTATACTTATACCGTTTTTTCATACATAGTCTTCAGTATCCCCTGAAAGATACTCATAAAGTGCTCCTCGTGGTTCCTGTGCTGTCTTTCTCATGCGTTTCTTTTTTTCCAGCCTATGAGTATTTCTTTGGTTTTTTGTAATTACCAGCCACATCATACCCTAGAATTTTTTTCCCAGCATGGCAACCTGGCTTTTCTGGTGCTGATTTCACCCTTCTTCTACTCAGGTCTCTGGATTCTAGTCAGCTCCACAAGCTGGCATCATGAGTGTCCAGAGTGTCCAGGGACCTGGCAGCAGCTCCCAGCTCTCCTCCCCGTGTCCTCAGGTGAAAGAAGACACTATCCACCACAGACTTAGCCCTGTCTGAGGACAAAGCAGTGTGGGCACAGCACCCGCCATCCCTTCCAATTAGCAGCCGCGTTTTCAGGCAGTCCTGGTGTGAAACACCCAACAGTGGCCTTTCGGGTCGCACAGGCAGTGGTCACCTTGCAGCCATCCTGACCCTCGTTGGTGCAGCCTTGAGCTGCCCAGGCAGTAGGTATCAGGCAGGATTGCTGCAAACAGCCTCAGCAGTCATTTTCTGAGGAGGTTTGGTGGGAATGAGCTTGCCCAAGAGGGTCAGCTGTTGGTCACCACATCAAGGTAGTGTTAGAGAGCTTGCTTCCCACCCGCCTGGAGATGTGAAACAGCCACATAACAGCTGCTGGGACAGGTTCACCATGACACACAGGCTTGGGCACGCAGGAACCGTATGCAGGCGGCGTGTCTGAGCCCGTGCTTTCCTCTCCCCCTCCTCCCCGGTGGGTAAATCCCATCAGCAGCCACCCTAAACCACCCCATGCCAGCCCTAATCCCATCTCGGGGAACACCATCAGCCACCTATCAGCTGGGCCAGGGACGGTCCCGGGAGGGATACACACCCATGCGCCCTGCAGAGCCCAGGGGACGGCAGGGGTGGCCCCGGCACTGGCTCCGGGACGGGGAGCAGGGTGGTGGAAAGGGGCCGCCTGTCTTCCATGCTCTCCGGAGAAGGAGGGGGAGCCCACAGCTGAGCTGAGCTTTGTCCTGGGTTAATTTTAGCCCAAGGAGATAAGAGAGGGGAGGTGCATGGCGGGGCTTAAGGGGTCCCTCTGCCCCGGCACGGAGCAGGCCTGGCTTCTGCCATCCCCGCAGGCGTGGGGTGGGGCTGTGGGGCGCCTGGGGAGGTGGCGGGGCCCGGCTGCTCTCCTTGGCCGCGGGGGCTCCCGATCGGGCTTGGGGGCTCGTCTCACCCCACGGAGCGGAGCTGTGCAGGCAGGGGTGCTGGGAGGCACATGGCCTCTGCGCCCCGGGGGCAGCGTAGCACCCTGGTGTGGGGCGCAGGGCGCTCCCTGTGGGGACCTGCCCGTGAGGAGGTGCGTGGGAGGACGACCATGGGGCTGTACTTGAGCGGGGGGGGTTCCCTCCTGGGGAGGTGGGTAACTGTGGGGAGATAGCCTGTGTGCGTGTACTCGAGTGGGGGTGATTCCTCTGTGGGAGAGCGTGCACGTGAGGGGATCAGCCTGG